CTACTACTGGCCCCATATGGCAGACGACGTCCAGAAATTCGTCACCTCGTGTGATACATGTCAGCGGATGAAGAGCAGCAAGCAGAAAAAGGCGGGACTACTGCAGCCTTTTCCTGTCCCAGAACAACCATGGCAAGTGGTTAGCCTGGACTTCATTACCGGGTTACCACCTACCTCCAGCGGTCATGACGCCATCCTTGTCGTCATTGACAAGTTCTCCAAAATGGGACACTTCATCCCGACACACACGACGGCACGCACCGAGGAGACAGCACAGCTCTTCGTTCGTCACATCATCTCACAGCATGGCATCCCAACTACACTCATCTCCGACCGAGACCCCAAGTTCACTAGCAAGTTCTGGAAGGAACTTATGTCTCTGCTCGGCACCAAACTCGCCATGTCATCCGCATACCATCCGCAGACAGACGGACAGACCGAGCGCCTCAACCAAATTGTTGAGCAACTCCTCCGAGCAGCCTGCAAGGACGACATCTCCAAATGGGACTTGCACCTGCCCGTACTCGAGTTTGCTTACAACAATGCCACACATGCCGCTACTGGACAGACGCCGTTCTTCCTCTGCTACGGACGCCACCCACTCACACCACAAAAACCGACAGCATCACCTACAGTCCAACCCGCACATGATTTCATTACAACCATGCATCAACTTTAGGATCGGACCCATAAGCGCCTCCTTGACATTCAACAGCAACAGAAGCGCCAGGCCGATCGCCATCGCAACGACCACACCATTTCCGTGGGAGACCAGGTGCTCCTCGACACCCGCAACCTGGACATCAGCCATCTCCCATCTAAACTTCGACCTCGCTTCTGCGGGCCTTTCCTCGTTGAAGCACAGGTCACTCCTGTTACCTTCCGCTTACGCCTGCCAGCTACCTGGAAGATTCACAACGCCTTCCACGTCCAACTTCTGAAGCCCTATCGGGACCCGAACACAATTTTCGTCGGACGCCAACCGCCGCCGCCACCGCCCGTCCTCAATGAACCCGAGTACGAGGTCGAGTCCGTGCTCGCACACCGCCGTCGTCGGAATGGCACCATGGAGCTTCTTATCCGTTGGAAGGGTTATGATCCTTCTGAGGACAGCTGGGTACCTGAGTCCAACATGGGTAACGCCCGTCGTCCTCTGCATGACTACCTTGTCAAGCAGGGTGTTACTTCTACCGCCCCAGCTTTGAGGGGGGGAAGTGTGAGAGTACGACCCCGTTACACCACTTGGCCTTTTCTTATTTCCTTCCCTTTTCATTTCTCGTTTTACCGCATCTCATTTGGTTTCCTATTTTCCATTTTCCATTATCCTTTGGTCTCTTCCTTTATTATAATTATATCACCGACCGGGCATGGAATGTACTAGAGACGTTATCCAGCGTAATCCTGCCGTAATCCCTTAAAGCCAATAGCCTCACGTGGCTATACGCAGGGTGATTCTATCTTCTAGAAGGGTCTATTCCCTTAGGATAAGATAAACCTGGTTACCTGATGTACTCTGGAAGTATAAAAGCGCCTTGTACCGATCGATAGTGCAACCTTTTCTCGACACATTCGATCCTGTGACATGTAGGGTCAGGGGACAGCGGAGGGGACACAGGAGGAGAACGAGGAGGAAGACGGGCCGGAGACTAGTCCGGCGGCGAGAACACAGGACCGTAGACAGGAAGGTCAGCAGGCAGTGGGGGAGACACCGGCGCGCGGTCCGGGGAGGGAAGGCCGAGCAGGCGGAGAGCGGAGACCGGCGGCGACGGCTGCTGCAGCGGTTGCGACGGCTGGGCCGGAACCCTCAGAGCGGCAGAGGCAGGACGACGGTCGGCAGAACACTCAACAGAAGCACCCCCCGAACCAACACCCCCAGAGCGAGAACCCCCTCCAACACCAGCGGCACCCCCAGGAGCCGCCAGACGAACACCCTCCTCAACACCAGCACCCCCAGAGGCCAAGTGCGGCGGCGGCAGTAGCGGCGACGGCGGCGGCGGCGACGGCAGTGGCAACGGCGGCGGCGGCGACGGCGGCAGCGGCTGTAGCGGGGACGACGACTGCGACAGTGGAGGCGGGTACACCGGGGAAGAGGGATGCGGCAAGGATGGGCCGGGGGTACCACCAGAGTCAGCAGACTCCTCAACGGGGACAACCGGCAGGAGGGGAGTGACGTGAGAGACACCCGACGGGGCAGGACGAGGCGAGAGAGAGGCAGGAGCTACTGGGGGAGAGGGAGCAAGGAACAGGGGGGGGGCAACCGGGAGACCTCGGTGAGGGAAGCGGCGGTAGAAGGAGACAGACTCGTCAAAGGTGACGTCACGAGAGTGGAGGAAGCGGTGAGACGGCGGGTGGTAGAAAAGCCAGTCAGACGAGTCCAGGGGGAAACCGAGGAAGACACAGGGGACTGTGCGGGCAGTGAGCTTGTCCGTGCCAGAGGCACGAACGTGAGCAAGGCAGCCCCAGATGTGGAACGCAGACGCGTCACCGGGAGACCCGGTCCAAAGCAAGGTCGGCGAAACCTGCGGCCGCTGGGAGCGGGGCCACAGGTTTAGCTGGTGAGCAGTGTAGCGAACAGCAAACGACCACAGAAAATGGGGGGCATCGGCATGAATCATGGAGGTACGGGCGACCTCCATGACCAAGCCGATGCGGCGCACAGCAACCCCATTCTGCAGTGGCGAGTCCGGCACGGTGTACAACGACTGGGTGATGCCCTCCGCACAACAAAACTGTCCAAGCCGACGCGAGGCGAACTTGCCGCCACGGTCAGAGTGGAGACACAACACGGGGAGTCCGCGGTGAAGACGCGCAGCTACGACCCACGGGAGAAGAACGTCGGGCACGTCGGCTTTCGGCTCCAGGGGAAACACCGTGGTGTAGCGCGTGTAGTCGTCGACGAGCACAAGGAAGTAGCGCTCACCTCGCGGTCCGGGGACGGGGGCTGGGCCCCAAATGTCCAGGTGCAGGGTCTGAAGGGGAGCAGTAGCAGGGCGCAGCAAGAAGGAGTGAGGGGAGCGGCGGAGCCGGCCCTCGACGCAAGGCGTGCACAGTGGCGCAGTCGAGGGAGGAAGGGCAGGGAGCGACGCAGGGAGACCTAAGACAAGACAGTGCTGGGACATGTGACGCAGACGTGGGAGTGCAGGGTGACCTAGGCGGTGGTGCCAGAGAAGGGACGGGTGAGTGAGGGACCAGCACGAGCAAGCTGCAGCGACCTGGGAGGACGCACCAACCGGGGGGACGCGGTGTCTAGGGTGAACAGATCGGACACCGGGTCCTGGGGGAACGTCGCAATAAGGGAACCCGAGACAGACTCAGAACAGACAGCGAACCGCTCGTGCCCGGGGAACGTGGTGGTGACGCCGAGGTCCTGGAGACAGCCGACACCAATTAGGTTCTTCGAGAACGAGGGAACGTGGAGACCTGTAAGGGAGCCCGAGGGAACTGCTGGACAGGGAAGGGACGTAGAACTGCGCGAGACGACAGGACCCGCAGAGGGGTGAGCAAGAGAAACAACAGCAAGCGTAGCAAGTGGCGTGAGCGCGGAGCGGTCGCGGAAGAAGCAGGCGGAGGCATCGGAGTCGAGAGTGAAGGACAGCGAAGCAGCGGCGGAGGCCGGGAACGGAGCCGGTGCAGAGACTAGGCTAGGCAAACTAGGCAGTCCTACGCCTGACGCAGCAGGGGAGGCTAAGCTACACAATGGTGCAATACCTAAGCTAGAGTACTCAGGGTAATAAGATCCAGCAACACTAGAAGCGTCAGAATACAAGGCATGCAAAGCAGCACCTATCTGATCCATGTTTAACTCAAAGATCGGCATGCCCTGGCGGAGCAGGCTGTGCTAGTCGGGGAGGTCCGGGGCCGGGCCAAAGCGACGACGAAAGAGATCGTCGAGACGGCGGAAACAGTGGGCGGTCGGGTGCGGGCGGCGGCACAGAGTGCCGCGGAGAGACCCGGTCTGAAGCTGGTACTGGCAGGTCACAGCACCGGAGCCGCTGGTAGACGCCGAGCTGCGCGGGTCGCCACCTCCGGAGGTGCTGGGCCAACCAGGCGGGAGACGGGCCCACGGCTGCGGCGGCTGCTGCTGGGGCTGCTCCTGCTGCGGCTGGGGCTGCTGCTCCTGCCCACCGGTGGTAGTCCCCTCAGGCGGACTACCCTCACGACGACCACCACCACCACCATATGCACCACCATTCCTACCTCCCTGACGACCACGGCCACCGCGGCGCGCGCGCTGCTGCGGGTGGACCGCAGCAGCCGTCTCGGTGAGAGGGGTCGTTGTGGCGACCGCAGCCGGAACGTCAGTGAACGTGCACTGGGAGGGGGCACAGCCGTGAAAGATAGAGACTGCCGGCGCACCGCTTGACTGAGCAATAGTGCGCTGGCGAGTCTCGATCTCGGTGAGGGTATCGACAAAGGCGGGGAGGGTGAGGTCACCCGGATGCTCGCTAAGGAAGTGATCGCGGGCACTAGCGAGGCGGTCCGGCAGGCGCATGGCGATAAAATAGAGCGTCATGCGGAAAGGGGGGGGGAGCGCAGTGAGCTTGGCAGCAGTGCTGGCAGTGCATAGCGGGTTTTTAGGGCACGCAGGTGAGTGGCAAAGTCTGCGACGGTAGGAAAGGCGGCAAGGTCTGGGAACAGCATCGGGAAGAGCAGGCGGCCAGCAGAAGCAGACGCGGGTGTGGAATAGCGAGCAATAACGGCGTCTAAGTAAGCTTTGGTCGTTTCAACAGTAGCAAAATGCTCGCGCTCAGACACAGGGAGGGCGTGGCTAATAGCAACCTGAGCGACTGCATCGCAGGAGTCCCAGACCACACAGGCAAGCGCAGCAGTAGAGAAGGTCTCGCGGTCATCAGAGGAGGGATCAGAAGGGAGGGGAGCAGGTGCGGGGGGGCGGGGGAGCAAGCCATCGACATGGACAACCAAAGAGTGGCCATCCTGGCGCTGACCTGTAAGGTGGCGGCGGAGATCGGAGAGCCAGGCGGCGAAGTCAACCGCATGGCCCTCGGCGTCCAGTCGGAGCACGAAGTCAGCCATCGTGCAGGGTCAGCGGCACAGCTCCACAGCTCCGCAAGAACACAGCGACACAGGGACACGGCGGCGGCACTCTCCAGAGACATTGGAAAAGCCCTTGGGATCTTTCCAGAGACTAAGTCCCAGTTGTAAAAGGAGACTTGAGTAGTGCAGCGGAAGTTGAGTAGTTGAACCCTTGTACTGGTATATGAGAACAAGTGATTGATTAAAAGAAACAATCATACAGCGATATATAGAAAGTAGGAAAGTAAAGCAGTTGTAGAATACAGTTAAAGGAGCGGTTTATCGAGTCGCACAGCGACTCGATTGACGGTTCTGTTACCATTCTTGCAGTTGTAATGGTCAGTCGCAACCTCCGGTTGCGACCCTTCGTGTCCTTTCGTGTTCTTCGTCTGCCCCCTCGTGCAACCTCCGTTGACTCGCGTACCCGTTATGACTTTCCTCGAGTGTAGTATTACACTCCAGAAACGCTCAAGTCCTTGAGATATTTCCAACAAATGCTACGTTGAATAGTACAGTATCCTTCAACGCATTTGTAACTCTAGACTCTGTTATGCACAAACTACCATAGTAAAAAAAAAACCTTTCATAAGCCCTGGGGCTAAACTATTGATGGAAAGCCATTGTCAAACAATCCTTTTCACCTTACAAGGTCCTAGGGGGCATTATGTGGGGAAATACAGTAGTACACATCGTACTACCCAGAAGAACAACGCAGCTACATCTTTTGCAAAAGGGAGAGATCCAAAAATGTTCATATTGCGAGTGTTGTAGCATCTGACACATGGAAAGTTCCAAATACTGATGAGAAGTAATGGTGCACATGCAATCTTGTTCACTGAACAAGGAAAGGCTCACAGCAACAGGCAAGATAAAAAGAAGAATAAACAAACAAAAACAAGGGGAGGCGAGAAGGGCAAAAGGCGTGAGGGCATGATGAGCCGGCGCACCTGTGGTGACGTTCCAGGACAAGATGGTGTGCGCCTGGGGCTGGCTGCCTGACAGAGCAACAAAGCCGAAGAGGAAGAGAGAGTCCGATGCAGTGGGCTTGAGAATGGAGCAGAGGGACACGCTTGCTGTGAGGGTGGGGGTGAGGGGCTGCACGGGGTCAGAGGAGAGGAAGACTCGGAGAGTGCCGCCGCTGGTGGGGTCGTAGCGGATCCAGGTGTGCTTGGTTTGGGCGTCGTTGAGGATGAGAGGGGCCGTTGCAGAGGCGAGGGACACAGGTGAGCCGCCCACATTGACGCCCACGTGGTTGTCGTTGGGGTCGCTGTGCTTCACACTCAGCACCGAGTCAAACTCCACTCCCACACTCCGCCGCCCCACCCCTCCCAGCCCCACACTCGCCCCCTTGCCGGGAGAAGCTGCTGCCACCACAAACGCAAGCCCCTCTCCACCACTCCCATGATTCCCTGGAGTCATGGCAAAGCTGAAAGCAGCAAGGAAGCCCAGCTCAGTTCCACAGCGAGAGCGTTTGTCAGGGAAGTGGAAGAGGCGCAGGGTGGGAGAGGCAAACGCTGCACCCTGCTGGTTCGGCGTCCCTGTTGTGAGCAGAATGGAGCCATTGGAAAGCACAGAGGCAGAGCCCCAGAGAGACACATAGGCAGATCCCGACTCCAGAGATGCCCCCGTGGCTGCAGGTGCAAGGGAGGAAAACATATGGGGATGATTGTGTGCCAATCAGTTTTTATCATGATCGTCGTGCAAGCTGGTAATTTGGCTTGTAAATAGCCAACCCAAAATTGATCTGGATTGAACCAAGTGATGGAGCTCAACTGAAGTCGCAGCATAAGAGATAGGTTGCCCTGTGGAAATTCCCTTACATAGTTGGGGTGAAACCCCAACCAAGTGTAGGTGACTAAATTTTAGGGTAAAATATAAGAAGTGAACCTAAGCTGAACACATCGTGTACCTTACTCAAGAATAGGTGGATTCATAAGCCGAGGCCCGGCATAGCGGGTGAAAGATAACTTAATAATAGTAGAGAAAAAGACTAGCCTACTCCAACATTGCAGGTGTGGAGCAGGTGCTCACCTCCAGCCACACAGGCGTTGGTGTTGCTGCTATCAAGCATGTAGTTGGGATCGCACACACACTCCCCTTCTCCAATGAAAGCATTTACCGAGCAGTAGCCATGCCCCCCACACACAGGGCCAGTAGCTCCGATCTCCACCCCACAGAATGCAGCACAAACAGCAGCAGTCCTCTGGGTGGAAGCACGGCCGCAGACGCTTGCAGAGGCAGCAAGGCAGTTTGCATCGGTAGTCCACGTGACGGCTGAGCAGTTTTTGAACTTGACCTCCCCGTGGGTGAAGAAATTGGTATCCACTTGGTACTGCTCGAGGGTTGAAGAGGCTGGGCTGGGCAGACGGCCAGAAAATTGGTTCCAGGAAAGGAATCTGGCAGAGGGAGATGGACGGCAGGAGGGACAACGGGCAGGGAGGGGGCACGGAGGTTGGAGACACGTGTTACATTGGCAATGAGCAAGTCTAGCGAATAGTGGATAAAGAGGGCCGAAGTATATGTTGGAACAGCTCAGTCACTAACCACCGAGCTAAAAGGGCGTGTTACGTAGCGGGTGCGTGCGCCCACAACCCCCAAGGCCATCTTGCCTGTAGCCCTTCCCCAGGACCAGTAGGCCGATCCCAGTGCTCCTTCCAACAGTATACATACAGTAATCAGACATTAGAAAGTGAGGTGTGCTTTTGATGCAAGCTGGCACACACAGCAGAGTGGCACCCACTGTGGGTGACCCACAGCCGGGTGGTATCCAGCAGAGTGATACGCACAGCAGCGTGATACGCACAACATAGCAACATGCACAGCAGAGTGATACACACAGCATTCTGAGGTTCCTCATCGTTCGTGTGATGGGCTCTATGGTTCCCCAGAACTGGTTGTTTGTCAGAAAACTGAGTAGCACGTGGGTGGTGCACGCACATGCATGGGGCACGCACATGCATGGGGAAGCAATGCATCCAGAGCAAAAATAGGTGGATTTTACAGTTCTGGCACCTGGAGGAAGCGATTGTGCAAAAGTAGTGCCAGCTAGAAACCTGGAACCAGTAAAGGGCAAGGCGGCGAAGCAACTTCAAGATTCAAGAAACAAATGCCCAAACCAACTCATGTGAACAACTTCTGTGATTAGCAACTTCTGAAGAACAATCACGCATCGAGCTTAGCACTGCATCTATAATATATACAGGTACTGCAGCTTGGAAAGGTCGCTGAGGGAGCTTGGGACTGTCCCGTAGAACTGATTGCCACTGAGGTCCCTGCACACACATGCTTCAATGAAGGTGAGTTCCTGATTCGGATGCGGAATGCCAGGTGACATGCAGACCTGCGCCACCTGCACCACCTGCATCACCTGCTGCAGAGCCATCTGTTCTGCATCTGCCAAAGCGACTTATGCACCAAATCAAGGGCATGCATTCGGCAATGGATGTACAAGAGCATTAGGTTCGTTAGCTTTCCAATGGCGGTGGGTATGGATCCTGACATTGGGTTGTACGACAGCGACCTGCAGAGATGGCACAGAGAGAGAAGAATGCTCTGGCGCTGGCTGAGATTATGAACAAAATGGATTATGCGGGGTGGACATACAGGGGGGGGGCACGTGGTTGGAAGAGATGGGGACGTTGTAATGAGTCGATTTTTGAGTCGACTCAAAAATCGACTCATTACACACGTTGGCTCATAAGCAGCAGGCGGCAGCCTTGCCATGAACGAAACGCCGTCTTTCCACTAGCATGCTAGTGGATGTCGTCCTCTGCTCCTTAGGTGGTTGTCCGCGTTAACACTTGAAAACGTTCAACAAGCGCTCAGACTGTCATGCACATTTGGTGGGGAAATGTACGCACATGGACATTGTATACGGCCCATGCTGACACCTTGGGCGGATTGTGCAAGGCTAACATGGGTCTAATCAGACAGGCCCCCATGCCCTTCACCCACTTCCCCCAGTCAACTGCGCTCTCTGGGGCCCCCCACCTACTCCCCATTCTTGCCCCCCAACCCCTTGAAAATCCATCCCCCACCCCCCCCACCCCTCGACTCGAACCCATGCACCCCACCCTCCTACAACGTCTCTTTATGCCATCGACCACTACCTAACCCCCACCCACCCCCTCCATTGCCCCCAACTCCCTACAAGCTCCCAGATGCATTAGAATAATAATAATAAAAAAAAAAATCAGGGTTCTGTCGAGTTTGTTGCAGTGACCTACTAAATGATGTGATACCATCATCGTAAATTTCAGTATACTGCTGTAAGGCATTCTTCTCAGGCCCTATGTTCTGGCTTTCATTCCGATCCTTTTTTTTCTTCTCATCATATTACTGTTCCTATGCGTGCCTCTGCTCCCAGGCAGCAACCTTGGCATCGAATCTTGAGCACGGCACCAAGATGCTTCAATGCACATCAAATCACCGTCCTCACGACCCTCTGTCCTGGTCGACCCATCATCCAGTGGAGCAGTGTAAGCTCAAACTTCACCAGTTCACTCAAGCTGAATTTCAGGCAAGCGATTGACACGTTGAGTCTAGCAAGGGAATGTGGCCGAGACACACTGGAAGGGCACGCGTGCAATACAATACAACAAGCACACTTATGGATTACAGGTAATCTAGCAGTAGGAGATCACCCAGTGCAGCAGGTATGCTTCCCGACAGCTGGTTGCTGGAGGCCATTCTGAGAAGAGATTGGTGGGGGGGGGGAACAGGGATCAGGGGCCATGGGGAGCTCAAGTACGCAAGAACTTATGCGGAGTGGTGTAAGCAGAGGGGTGCAGAATATCATGTGAGGAGAAAAGAGAGAACGTGAATGGAGACAACGCGCACGTGGACGGAGCAGCCGCCCGCCCGCATCACTTACATGGCTCTAAGCTTCGGCAGCGATGCCAGTGCTGTTGGAATAGAACCGCTTAGAAGGTTATCCATTAGGATACTAGGGGTGGGAACCAAGTAGACCATAGACCATGCACCACCATGCACCATGCACCTTCAAATTACTGTACAGTAAGGGGAGTTAAAAAAAGAGCTATCAATTCTCTTGTTTAACATCCAGAGCAACAATGGCTATTGGAGGGCTCCAAACGTGAAGATTGCAACCTGCACACCACAACATGGGCACATGAGTTGCTTGATTGATTCAAGTAGCTTTTAATCTTTCAGCATTCTCTCCAGACAGCACAGAAGTCACATGATGCAGAGCATGTGAGGAGCTGCACTAGCTGTGTGGGCAATGAACTCACGAAGAGAGGTGGCAAGTCTGAAAGACTAGCATTCGAGGGAAAGCATTGTATATAACAGGAGGCAGGAGGTCTATAGTACAAGCAAGGAGCACAGAAATGGTTGGAAGGGAATCTTCTCTCTTTGGTTATAATTGTGGCCAATGGGAAAGATTGCTTGGAGGAGAAGCAACCCCAAAGTGTGGTGGTTGCTGATTGGTTGAGTCTTGGGACCACTTGGTTGGAAAATGCCAAATCTAATCTTGACAAACCCCAATTGTGGTTGGGGTGAAACCCAACCAACAACCCCCCAATAGGTGAAATGACTACACTCCCTATTGTAGCCTATGTATGTTGTTCATATTATATTACAACAAAGTCGCCTCATACTGCAGAAAGGGCAAACCCCGATACTCATGCACTCGCAATAACAACCACGACTGTTAGACCCGAGGCAGGGATGGGGTGAGTGAGAGAATCTCACAGGTCTGTCAGAGAATCGAGGGCTGAAAATGAGTCTGGAATTGACCCTGTCAGCTGATTTCCTGCAAGCGCGCTGGAGCAAGAAAGCCCCCCCCATGCACATGCAAGGTGGACGGATGACAGGGTGGAGACGGACGGAGGGATGGGAGGGCATGAGAGCACAAGAACGCAGCAGAAACGAGGAGAGTCAATCATGAAACAAGTCCCATGTCACACCGACTGCAGGAGTGAGGCATGGGAGTGAGCATGTGGCCAGTGTGTGCCATGCGAAGCAGCTTCAGGTGAGACCCAGTGGCGCATTTGTGACCTGCGAGAGAGAGGCACACAAGGCCTGGCATGTTTCAGTGGCCTCACAGGTGTGTGAGGCCACGCAGGTGACCAAGGGAGTCGGGGATGGTGCCACTCAGCTGGTTGAAACTCAAAACCCTGCGCTTGACAGCAAGGAAATGCAGGTACACAGCGCAACACATCCATACAATATTCGGTGTTCGCACACTATTCGATATTCGGCCAAATACCCAAATACAAAACGAATTCAAATTGGCTGTTCATTCGCAGGTATTTTGTGATCAAATATTCGTCTTGGATGAATATTCGCGCCCTGAATATTCAGGTTATTCGTAGACTATTCGTATCCGACATGACGTCATATCTCGCCCTGTTGTCTTGTAGGCGGCAAGGGGAAACGTCAGATACTGAAGAAATCAGTTGTCAGGGATTAAGGTGCGGCTACAGTACACAGCTCAACGAGCTCCAATGACCTAAAATAGCGCAACTAACATCAGATACTGAAGAAATCAGTTGTCAGGGATTAAGGTGCGGCTACAGTACACAGCTCGACGAGCTCCAATGACCTAAAATATCGCAACTAGAGGGAGATTAGCCGGGAGAAGCTCGAGGTTGTGAGAGAGATGTAGGTAAAGTAGGTGAGCGTTGAGCGTTAAGCTCGACTTTATACTCCTTGACACCGACCTGGGCTAGGCCTGGGCGAGCAGCAGAAATCAAGTAAACCGTAATTCGTAAGATCCAGTAAGCAGAATAGGTTCGTGTCAGAAAAAGGCGTATAGCTCGAGTATTCGAAACACATTTGTATTCGTCTTGTATTCGCCAGTATTCGACTCGAATTCGCATTTGATTGCGAAGCAACTATTCGGGCAAATACAAATTCAGCTTGTATTCGCAACTATTCAAAAAAAAATATTCGTATTCTAATTCTAGCGGTTTTTACCGGCTAAGACAAGCTAGACCATAGACAAGCTAAAAAAATAGACAAGCTAGAAAATAGACAAGCTAGACAATAGACAAGCTACATGGACTAGACAGGCAGGACAGGCTAGTTGAAAGCCAGGGCCTATCGTCATTGTCATTGGTCCCTGAACATTACATCAACATTGTCGTTGCAGAATGCCCACGCAATTGTCTGTGAAGCTGGACCTTGTGGCGAACAAATTGTGTACAAAGGCTTATTTGTAGAAAAATATCGTACATTTGCTGAAGCAGTGACATCTCGCCCATCGATGGAGGAATGCTTCCGGAAAACAAGTTGCCGTCAAAATTTCTGAAGGTGCACCGGGCAGGGAAAGTGGTGTTACTGGGGAACCGAGCACACAGCTGACATGCAAGTGACGGTACACGGATGTTCACAAGCTGACCTCGTGATGCATGCAAGTTGATGGCGAATTAGCATCCAGCTAAACGCAAAGTCCAATAAGTGATACTGTGAGCTCATGTGAAGTGGCAGAACCCTGCCAAAAGCAGCTACTTCAATGCTAAGGAGCCTTTTCGTTCCGCTGCTACCTCAACACGCCCCGCTCTTGTTGTTCGTATGGAGAGGCCTTGAGAGCGCCTCTTATGCCACGAGCCACTGGAATGTCAATGCCCCCCCCACCCCACCTCCCCCCTCCCCCCCCCTCTCCCCCCCCCCCCCCCCCCCTCTTCAAGCAAATGCCTATTCATTTCTCCACCATGATTTCGGTCTTGCGCTTGGAGTTTCAGTCCATTCTGACGAAACAAAATGTCATCCTGTCTGGTGGGCTTTAAGTGTGCTCTGCCTTGTGCATGGGCTTGCCGGTTACCTGGAGAGCAAGAGGGGTACCTACCTGACTTCGACTTATGAGCCTACCTGACATTTAGTGCCACCCCGCTTGAGAGAGGCGCTCATTGGTTTTACTCTATACTGAAATTTCGAGAAAGCTTCTGCTCATTGTTGTGATGAAAGAAATCGCCAAGCTGTCAAACCTGCCCCCTGGCAAGTTTCCGGCACAATTAGCGAACTTTTAGCTGAAATGATAAAGTAACAACTAGATTCTGATGACCTTTTCAGGTTTGTATTACTGTGCTCTCCTAATTACGTTTTCCCCCATCCACCAAAATCTTTCACACCCCTGCAAACCCAGCAACGTTTTGCACAAAACACATGTTTAAACAACCCTTCTCGCAGTGGAAAAGGGAATGTGAGGGAAAGCAGCAAGCAGGACTGGATGTGATTCTCACAAGACAGTGAGGGTAGTGAAATTGCCAAGCTCGCTAGGAAGAGAGCCGTTGAAGAAATTCTGCCGAAGATTCCTGAGGATGGGGTAGGGGCGAAGGGGAAACAATGGAGGAAGGGAAAGGGAGTAAATGACAGAGAACAAGCATCATTACCAGGCCACCCCATCCCCCCACTCACCCGCTTGGTCCACCTCCATCCTCCATCCACCCCCTCACCTTGGGCTCCTGGCCAATTTTTCCTAGTTTGCTGTAAAACACCCCTTATGTTGAATGACGGGAGCAATTAGAGTGAGAGCGAGTGAGTGACAGACAACAGGCCCATGCTCTGTCCCCCAAGCATTATAGGTGCAGGTCTCTCCATTTAGATGTGTGATGCTCATGATCAATCAGTGGTGTTCAATCAGCAGCTCAAAGGAGCGTTGAATCGCAGGAAACTCAGTAGTGTTGAGTTAGTGAGATATGGGCTTACAGGTGTGTCAGGTGCACCAAGCTGGAAAGCAAATCGATTGGCCCTGAGATCCGATTGACACCAAGTATACTAATGAGGAAGCACACAGGAAGGAGAGAGAAGGAATCCAAATCGGTGAGCAGAAGGACACCAACAATAATGCACATGGAAGTAAAGTTGTCATACATGCGGTGCTTCTTTTCTTAGGGTAGGAAGGTAATTGGCAAAAACTGCATTCACATGTAGGCTACGCATGCATTGTGTAGCCTATATGGATACGTGTATGTATATCCATATAAATGTACGCATTGCATGCATTGCACGCTTGCAGCCTGCCAGCCACACAACTTAAGCCAAAAAAGTAGAGAGTCAGCAACTAGATTGGTGGGCAGAGGGTAAGGTCTGAATGTGGACAGTTTCCAACATTGAATACAAACAGGTCTGAATATTGTGTGCATACCCTTCAACCTGGAAAAACAGCTTGTTGCAGCTTGCACACACGTGAAAAGTAGCAGTCTAAGTGCTCGGGTCCCAAAATGAGCATGCGTGATGACACCCACAGGTATTCTAAGCTGACCAGACGACTGAAGCCGTCAGGAAGGGTGCCTGAAATAGAGTTGCCGCCAAGGTTGCTGAGGGGTGTGAGGTGAAGTGAAGACAAGCGAGAGGCGGAAAAAAACAAGAAAAAACACAAACAAATCATGCAAGAGACAAGCAAGCGAGATGTGTGGTATGACTAGGGAAACGCCTAGAGGACACAAACGGGGGTGCTGAACAGAACGCATTGGGTTGAGTTGAGGGAAGCGGAGCACTTTCGAGAAGGGTTAAAGAAAGGCAGCGTATCTTCCTTTTTTTCCCCTGTACGGTATGGTACCAGATTAAATGGTAAAAGGTTTTCGGGGTTGGGTAAAAAATAAGGTATTTTATTTCAGCCGATTTTTTCAAAATATGCGTGAAATATCCCGGCGAAATGTCCGGATCTCGCGTTTCAGTGGGTGAAATGCGCGGACCTGGCATTTCGCCAGCCCAAACCAACGCGCGGATCTGGCATTTCGCCAGCCAAAATGCGCAGAAATACATAAGAAGAAAATTCGTTCCGAATTCTTCAAAAACTAAAACGGCACTTTTCCCCCAAATTTACCCAAAAAACGATCGTATAATACGGCCTGTATTATATAATATCCGTATTTATTCACCTTGCTTGAGAGGGCAATAATCATTGGTGTGTGCGAGGGGCAGACGAACCTTTGACCAGTCTGCCGTGGAGAGGGAGGCTTACAGAGAGACCAGAGATGGCAAGTCGCAGAGGGTGTTTGGGAGGGGCCCGGTGAGTTGGCAGAAGAGAAGCGTGCTGCAAGGAGATGCAGGGAGCAGCACAGGGGGAAGTATAAGGTGAACTTTCATTCTGCCCTCCAGCGTCGCTTTGGTTCCAGCTAATTTTAGGAAACTATCATACAGCACCACTTGCACTTGGGTTGAGCTCAAATCCCGCCCATCACTCGAGCCTGACTCAGACATGGACTAATGTTGCCTGCCATTGCTCCATTCCTTCTTATGATACAAAAATTCTTTCCCTTGCACAGTAAACACTCTCTCCTAACCCACCCTGCAATGCAGCCCAGAATTACAGCCACCACAACTGAGTCCAAGAGACATGATTTTCTCACAGGTATCTGAGACGCGTAAACCGGCTGATCATGGCAGGTATTGGTGCCTGAAAGTTCTTTAAACCCAGCTCTCTGCGATAAAATAGGCATTGGGCACAAATTTCCATAAAATTCTCCAGTGATGACAGAATAATATAGAGCTGTTGTCCCCATAGCATGTGGGACAAGGAGGCAATCACAGATCAGCATTGCATCATCACAAGGGGTGAAATGGACTGGACCCCGGCAACAGACACATGGGTGGGTGCATGCATGACACATAAGGAAAGGTGTATGCATGACACATAAGGAAAGGTGCATGCATGACACATAAGGAAAGGTGCATGCATGACACGACACATGAGGGACAGGTGCACGCATGACACAAGAGCGGAACGGAAATCGCTCACATGGCAATGACGCGCCCATCGCGGTCACATCGGATGCCCTCCATGGCCCTGCAGTCTGCATAGCTCAAGCTCCAAGTGTCGCTGCCGTTGAAGCCGTTCCACTCGCTCGCCAGCCATGCCAGGTTGGACACTGCACGGAGAACACAAGAGGTGGGGCAAGGGCGTGCTTCGGCAGTGGTGGAGTGAGGTGCAGTCAGGAGGAGTGACCTGCAGGCGACAGTGCCAATCTCACGGAAAGATGGAATTCAATCTGAGCCTACCATCTCTTGGGTGCACTCGCACTGCCGCTGCACCCCAGGGTGGCACAAGGCATGCCAGGCTTCCCAGCAGCAGCAGCAGCAGCAGCAGAGACAGTTCCACCCCTTGTCGCAACTCCTGCCGGGGATGAGCATAGCAGCCACAGTGGCGGTGGTTAGAGATATGACGATGATGTGGTGATGATGTGCAGGTATGGATGGGTGACAAGGGCACGGACGGGGTGGTGCACCACGCCCCTGCCTCTCTTCCAAGACTCTCCGAGTCATCACATCGTGCTCCACCTGCGGCCTCAGCGCATTGAGGCAGGGCGAAACAGTTCACTTCACAGGGTGTGTGTGAAGCTGGGTGCTGCAGGCAGGCAGCTTCACACTGTGCAACCTTGCAGACAACGGCTCCGCCATTCGTGCACAGCCGTAACGATGTTACAACACAGCTGGCCACGTGGCTGATAGTACTCGTTTGCAAGGAGTGCGAGCCTGTTGGCATCATAGTAAGGCGGTGAGTTCCGTTGCAATTGAGGCCCAGCAGAGGCAATCGCCTGCTGCTGGGGGCAAAGTCAGGGCTGCTCGGAGCACGCCTAGTATCAAATGAGTCTGGGGATTCATATCGAAACTTGGATTGGCCTTCTGATTCAAGAAGCGGTGATTTACGATGACGATAAGGCGGTGAGCGCCGTTGCGAGCCCACTGGGCCCCTTTGCCCCGCTTACTGACTCCCCTTACTGCCTCCCCTTACTGACTCCCCTTACTGACTCCCCTTACTGCCTCCCCTTACTGCCTCCCCTTACTGACTCCCCTTACTGCCTCCCCTTACTGCCTCCCCTTACTGCCTCCCCTTACTGCCTCCCCTTACTGCCTCCCCTTACTGCCTCCCCTTACTGCCTCCCCTTACTGACTCCCCTTACTGCCTCCCCTTACTGCCTCCCCTTACTGACTCCCCTTACTGCCTCCCCTTACTGCCTCCCCTTACTGCCTCCCCTTACTGACTCCCCTTACTGCCTCCCCTTACTGCCTCCCCTTACTGACTCCCCTTACTGCCTCCCCTTACTGCCTCCCCTTACTGCCTCCCCTTACTGCCTCCCCTTACTGACTCCCCTTACTGCCTCCCCTTACTGCCTCCCCTTACTGACTCCCCTTACTGCCTCCCCTTACTTCCTCCCCTTACTGACTCCCCTTACTGCCTCCCCTTACTGCCTCCCCTTACTGACTCCCCTTACTGCCTCCCCTTACTGCCTCCCCTTACTGCCTCCCCTTACTGCCTCCCCTTACTGCCTCCCCTTACTGCCTCCCCTTACTGCTTCCCCTTACTGCCTCCCCTTACTGCCTCCCCTTACTGCCTCCCCTTACTGCCTCCCCTTACTGCCTCCCCTTACTGCCTCCCCTTACTGCCTCCCCTTACTGCCTCCCCTTACTGCCTCCCCTTACTGCCTCCCCTTACTGCCTCCCCTTACTGCCTCCCCTTGCTGCCTCCCCTACCGCCTCCCCTTACTGCCTCCTCTTACTGCCTCCCCTTACTGCCTCCCCTTACTGCCTGCACTTCGCAAGGAGCGCGAGCCTGTTGGCATCATAGGCAACGCCAGCAGACCCGTTGCGTGCCTGTTGGCAACGCCGGTGAGTTTCGTTGCGTGCCTGCCATTCATACACAGCAGAGGCAATTGCCTGCTGCTGGGGGCAAAGACAGGGCTGCTCGGAGCACGATTGTCAGAGGTATCAAATGAGTCTGGGGTTTCATATTGAAACTTGGATTTGCCTTCCGATTTAAAAATCAGAGATTTAGTGAGCGCCGTTGCGGGCCCACTGGGCCCCTTTGCCTCCCCTCACTGCCCCCCGTTTCTGCCTGCGGCAGAGAGGCAGCAGCTCGAAGCGCGCTAGCTTGCACACACCACTACTGCGTTCCATCTTCCATCTTCCCCGCTACTGCCAGCACGCACAAGCACCCGCTACTACCAGCTCGCACCCGCACGCTGGCAGTTGTGCGGCAAGAGAGAGCGTGGTTAAGTGCGGCACGACTCTGGGATCTAGGAGGGTACTGCGTAAAGTTCGCGTCAGCATCTCCAAAAGGAGCGGCGGCAAGCTCCCCGGCGGACCGGCCTGGCGGCCGCCGCGCTTTCCGCGGCGCTTCGCGAACAGCGGAAGCGCGGCGCACGGCCGTCGATGGGGACGAGGGCGCCTAGCAGACAAAAGAAGCAACTACTGGTAGCGACGAGGTGGCAACGAGCGACAACGGCGCTACTACCAGACTTCGCCCAAGTGGCGAGGGTCGGGCCGTGGGACTGCCTCGAGTCGAAGACCCGCAACCCGGAATTGCGCTAACTGGCGGAAAACCTAACCCAACTCAGCCCCTCACACGCCATGCGAGGTTCGGCGAGCCCGGTAACCACGTTGGGTTGGGCAACTTCGATGGGTTGCGCAACGCCAGGTACCACGACGCCCTGACTTAACCCACCTGGCCGCGACGGATCACGGTGGATGCCTCGAGTCACACATCCTTTGCAGTCGGAACGTGCGTATCAGTACTATCATGTGGCCCGCTTACAGCGTGTGTCGGCATGGTCTGAATACTGCCCGAAGCACAGTGGTGAAAGCGAGTTTGGCTGGAATGTCTTTAGTCTCCTCTCGACGCGATTAGTCGTAGGGGTGATCAGGGGAGAGAACGATCAAAACCTAATGCCGGGCAGAAATCCCTTTTTGGCGCTGAAGCGAGGGATGTGCTCATATGTCCAACCTCACCATAATAGACCCCTGCACCTGACTTCAGCTTTCAAGCCAATTTTACCTTCATGGTTACTTTTACAAGCAATGTGTTATGTGTGTATAATCAGAGTAGCGCGAAATCGAATGTCGAGGTTAAGAACAACAGAATGTGGTAGTACAATGGAATGAAGAAGATTTAGGAACAGCAGAGCAATCCAAGCTGTGATCGAACAGGTTCGTAGAAGACATCCGAGGACGCGGAGCGCTTCGGAATGACGCGGAAATAGTTCGGTGCCGTGTTCGAGCCGAAGCTAGGGCAGATGTCGATGTCGTGTGGGGTTGATGTACGCGGTAGCGGTGTGGCGCGCTAAGGAATGGAAAATCCTTTACACTACCCCCCCCCCTAGGAAAGGTGTTCTATATTTGCAACGTGCTTGCGGAATAAATAATACCGGAGTACAGCAGATGAGTGCACTTGTGCCGAGTGAACCCACGTGTCGTCATCGCTGGTACGATGAGTCCATCGTATCAGAAAGTCAACGTGTCGCTCCTAACCGTTGATTCGTACGCGATGGCTCATGATTTTTGCTGTTATGAGAGTCTCCTCAGTTGGCCGTAGATCCTGGGCGATCGGCTGTCGGGCGACGTTTGACGTGTCGGCATCAAAAGGACGAAGGAGGTTGACGTGGAATGAATTATGAATTTTCAAGTCGTCGGGCAGGCGAAATTGGGCGGTCACTGGCGTTATCATCTTGATGATTTTGAATGGTCCACAATAGTGGGGCCGAAGTTTTGGCGGCATTTGTGTTGGAAATATCTCAAGGACTTAAGCGTTTCTGAAGTGTAACACTGTACTCGAGGAAGATTACAGGGGAGCACGCGAGTCAACGGAGGTTACACGAGGGGGCGGACAAAGAAAGCGAAAGGACTCGAAAGGTCGCAACTGGAGGTTGCGACTGACCGTTACAACATCACGGATGGTAACCGAAGCGGCAATCGAGTCGCTGTGCGACTCGATAAACCGCTCCTGTAACTGTATTCTACAACTGCTTTCTTATCTTCTATATATTGCTGTATGCTTGTTTCTTTAATCAATCACTTGTTCTCACATACTAGTACAAGGGTTCAACTGCCTCAACTTCCGCTGCACTACTCCAAGTCTCAAGTCTCTACAGCTGGGACTTGGTCTCTGCAAAAGATCCTAAAGGGTTTTTCTCAGCCCAACATGGTATGAGAGCTGGTCAGAGACCAAAACTCCCAGCAACTACACTCCATCAACAACCAGCAACTCAACTTGATTCAACAACTCCATTGATTACAAGACATGGACAACAAGGGCAAGAAAGTCTCTACGGGCTCACCCAGCGCCCAAGAAACTCAACACGGCAACTCTGGTCTGCACACCTCAGGACTGCAGACAGAGACCGGGACTGCTCAAGAAACAACGGGAAGAGTACCAGAGATGGTGACCCCGTCTCCATCTTCAAGTGTGGACCCGAATCTCATGGAGAGATTCTTCAGCTTCATGTCACACTTCGATCAGCAGCAGCAGACAAGGACACCTGCGCACTCAACACAGAGCAATGGAGGGAATATGGGATTAGCGCCGATGAGCCTCGACAACTCATCCTTCGGGCGACACAATCAAGCGCCTACCTTTGCGCCTTATCACTCTTCACCGGGGACGTTCGAGTTCATGCCGCCCCGTGCCCAACCAACAGCAGCTGCATCACAACAAACACCAAACGAGATTTTAAGTCTCCAGGCACAGTTTTCACACGTGATTAAACTGCAGACATCATCCCCATTCAACGGACACGACTTCTTTACCTGGAGCTTCGAGTTCGAGCTGCTGATGGAGGCCGCGCATCTTCTGGGATACTTCAACGGGTCCCTGCCATTCCCAAGCAACGGCACTGGGAAGGAACAAGAAATCTTCACGTATCAGTCGCTGCTGGCGTATACGGTACTCCTGAGAAACTTGTCACCACAAGAGCAGCAGAGCATCAGAACGTATCGGAGTTATGGAAACTCCGCGGAACTTGCATGGCATCATCTCAAATGCCTCTATCAAGCAAACGACAGCGTGACACAAAGCAGACTCATGCAACAGCTGACAACAATACAGATGAAAACCGGGGAAAAGGCGATGCAGTATATGAGTCGCTGCCAGACCCTGCGCGACCGCCTGCTTCGGTGCGGAGGAACGATCACTGAAGAAAGCTTCGTCACACTTGTCCTCGCCGGGCTCGGACCAGAATGGAGAACCACACGATCGCTTCTTCGCGCCCACGGAAGGATCTCGGAGATGCACCTCTGCGCCGAGCTTCACGCTGAACAACAGGAGATGGATCTGTTCGAGGAAAGACAACCAAGGAAGCAACAGCAGTTAGTCTTCTACACTCAAAGAAGAAATGACATAAACTACAACCGACGCAGCAAGCAAGATCAACGCGACAACCGAGGACTCACCATCGTGCCGCCGTTCTGCCACAACTGCCAGACTTCCGGACACTCCAAAGTCAACTGCAACCGCCCTCGCGTTTACCGTGCAGCAGACCCACAAGTTGCTTCCACTCAAGCAAGTTCCCCAAGGCGCTCTTCAACATCTGCACAAGGGACACCAAATATCATCAACTGCATGGTACACATCGACAACTGCGCACCCGGATCACCACCCACTTACGCACCAGACGAAGAGGAATTCCCGCCGCCGCGCTCACAAGGACTTCAGGTCAACCCAACATACGCTGCGGTCGCCAACGCCGAACCCACTGGGCGAAACACCTGGTTCTTGGACAGCTGCTGCGGTCAACACATGTGCTCCTCGGGACGCTTCGTGCAACAGGAGAAACGCCTCAACCGCGACGTCGTCATCACCGTCGCCAACAACGAAAACCTGAAAACAAACAGACAGGGCGTGGTTCAGTTACAATCCATGGAGACGAATGTCATACTTCAACTCAACAAGGTGCTCATTGTCGACAATCTGGGATACAATCTACTAAGCGTAAGCCAACTAATGGCCAAGGGGATTCACCTGGAGTGCGACTCTTACTCCAACGAGTTCCGGCTTTACCACGGGAAGGGCGGCCTCTTCATCGGTCGTGCCCTCCTGAAGTCCGGCGTCTTCGTGTTGGACTTCGTCCCCGACCGCGGAACTGCCGACAGCGATGGCATCGTATCGTTCGCCGCCTGGACTCACCCGCCGGATCTTGACCCCGACTTCGACAGTGACGGCTTCTGGCACTCCAACACCATACCTGCAGCAGAGAGAACACGAGCATTAGCAGTTATCAGACAAGAAAGACAAGTACCCGCAAGTGTCCCAACAAAACCATCACCTGCAGTATCGGCAGCAGGACCCAGCCGAGTACCACCACCATCAACACGAGGACCGCCAACGGAAGCAGACCAACTTATGCCCGCCACACGAGAAGCTTGTCGAAGTCCCGCCTCAGTCGTCGCGTTCTTCTCCAACGCCGACATCTACCACCGCTCGCCCGGCCACCGCGCTCCCGACGACATCTGGCACCAACGTCTCGGACATCCTGCAAACAGCACGATACTTCAAACAATCCAAGCAGAGGTGTTAGAACGCAACGCCCTTCTGACGACGAACGGCCAGGAACTCCGACGACCACGCGCACGGTGCTTCACATGCCCCGAAGCAGATCTTCCTCATCAACCTTTCCCAGCCCATCACAATCCAAGCGCACCCACTTACGCTCCGATGGAAAAGGTCTACAGCGATATTCTAAACATGCCTCGAGACGACACCGAAGCCGACTTCAACTACGTCATCACGTTCATCGACGCAGCAACCAGATACGTCTGGCACTTCAATCTCAAAACGCGCGATCAAGCCTTCGAGGCCTTCACCACATGGCTTCCAATCGCCGAACGAGAGTCAGGAACCAAACTCAAGAGTTTCCAGTCAGACGGTGCACTGGAATACCAGTCACAACGCTTCAGGACCTATCTCGCGGAAAGGGGAATCCGACGCCTGGTGTCTCTGCCCTATGCTCACCAGCAGCAGGGGGTAGCAGAACGCATGAACCGGACCTTGCAGACGACGATGCGAAAACTGCTTCTGGGGATGAGGCTGCCCAACGCACTGTGGCCAGACGCGATGACACATGCTGTTCACCTGCACAACCTGCTGTCCTCGTCATCACTTCCCAACAACGCATCGCCGCACCTGTTGTGGACAAGAAAAAGGGGCAGCACAAAATTACTCCGCGTTTTCGGCTGCATGGTACAGTACAGACCCCACACAGCCCGAGCAGGACGCTTCTCACAAAGAGCTCGATGGGGACTACACCTCGGCATCGCAAAACATTTTCACGCGTGGAAAATTCTCGACATACAAGACAAAAACACGGTGGCATCACGCGATGTTATCTTCTACGAACGACTGACGCTGCAGCATTACCTGGACAACCTTGCCAACACACAAGACCCCACCGACGGCTTCGCGGGCCTTCGCTCCTTCGCTGACCACACTGCCGAGGCTGACGCAGCAGAAGAAGACGTACCTGGAGCCTCGGAAGCTGCCGGACCACTCCCATTCTGTTCCGTACCTGTTCCACTCGATGAAGATAATCCCCTCGATAGCAACAACCTCGACACCTTTTACCACTTCGCCGACCAAGGTTACGCTACACCTCACCCCGTCGACACGAATATTTCGGAACGCATCGGCCCCAATTTCTTACCTGACCCCGAAGACGGTGACGAAGCAGCTTATTCCGGGAATGAAAATTCCCCTCGACACACGCCCACGGGACTCCAGATTCTAGGCCTCTGGGTCTCCGTCCAGAATCCGCCGCCGCCTTCTCCGCGAGAGCCTTCAACGTTGTCGCAGGCTCTGGGGGGGGAACATAAGGCAAGATGGAAGGAAGCAATGGAAAAGGAGTTAAAAGCTCTGCAAGACCGAGAAACGTGGAAACTGGTACCTGCAACGAGCATCAACGGAAAAAACGTTCTCTCGGGGAAATGGGTG